GTTTGTCCATAAATACCGATTTTGTTCAACCTTTTTACCGAAAACTTAGAAACAAGAAATATCTTAAAAGCATTTCCTTAATAATGACTTCTTAAACATTCCTTCTTAGATAGCTGCCTGTGTGGGTCATGACTTTAGAATCGCCCAAACATGTCAACCCGTTGCCGAGAAAAATTAATTTCCACAACAAAAGCCGATAAAGAATACGACTAAGATTAATTAAAAAACTTTCTATAACAAGTTACCTCCTCAAAAAGCGCTTTAGTTAGATATTTCGAAGTCGAATATTTGTGTACGATACCTTTTTCGAAGATTAAGTCATGATCAAAATGGGATATTTTGACCGGTTTTTGACTTTCCTAAAACTTAGAGGAAAAACTGCTGAAAATGAAGGAGCTTACATTTCTATGTAAACCAGAGCAGTTTTCAATACATTCTTTTACTTCAGGGCACCGTTTTTTGATTTTAATTGTACAACAGTGTGACCCAAAATATCTTCCTATATTCTTTAACATGATATTCGTTTCCCTCTTCCGTTTGAAGTTTTGATATTTATTGATTTTTATCCATATTTTGACCACATTTGGATGGAGTTAGTTACGATGTTAATTAGAAAACATATGAGCTTTCGAGGAAGTTCATGTAAAGTCAAATTGGCTTACTAATTTTGGCGTATTAAAACATATGTTTGCCTCTTGTAAGTTTATTAATTATCTTTAGGGCAAAAAACGTAACATATTTGTAGAGCAAACATTTGTTAACTAAATTTATCAACCTTTTCTAAACTCTAGTGCTATATCTCGTAAGTACACTAACCTCAATTTCATGGATGCAAAACAAAATTTTCTCTATTGTGAACAAGTATAATTAAACAGTTCCTGCTCTTTGTGAATGTATTGTTATACTTCAGCGCGCAAATATATGAATCTTTTCTCCGCAGCGCTCAATAGCATAGGAAATTCCTCGGATATCAACAAACGTTAGATTTCGCCGATTTCCGCCAATATTTTCTCCAAGTATACAGATCTGAACGGAATTCAATTCTAGTAAACAGCATTTTGCGCCTCAGGCCAACCCAATGAACTAAATAAACGACCTCAAGTTTGTGTTAAATCCCCCAATCCCCAACCGTGCATCAGACATGTGACCTACTGTAATTGTGTCGAAAGTGACTAAATAATATTAAATTAAAGCTCCATCTAGAGGTTTCACTGAGCTAAGTAGAATCACTTCCTTCAGCATGGACTTATGTCGCTCAGGCAACTGATGCCTACTGACGGTAGTTTGACCTTAGATTGGCGGAATTTAAAGAAAAAAGGCAAAGTCGGGCTACTGCCAAATGTTAAAGTAGGTTATTATTATAAGTCAAAGGCAAACAGGACCTCTTTAGACAGTCCTACCATTATATATCGTCGAAGCACCTTACAATCAGGACATTTAGACTAACAATTCGAAAACCTTCGTGAATTAACCGATTTATAATTGTGACAACACGGAGTCACAGTGCGTTAAATTTTAACCAGTTACCATAGATAGCTACAATTTTGCGCATTATGCTCGCTGATATTCTAGGAAATCTGGTCCATGAACACGCTTAATCAGATAAGAACAACGATAGGTATTTAGTCTGAGGAGTTAGGAAGTGTCCATTGTCCAAGGACGAGGACTCACATTTCAATTTTCCAGATATTGCGCGTGGGGTTACCACTGGACTTTTATCGGTTTTCAGCTTTGCCGTATCAGTTCACATCAGTTGAGTCGATTATCGTTGCCTAATAAACCAACAGAACTCTGTTCCACTACTCTAGAAGCAGCTGGATATCGGCCACAATCGGAAATATGAACTCTTATGGTGAGAGCTCCTGCTGATCCAATCAGCTGGAAACACCAAAGCTCCAGCCTGGAGCTCCGGTTTAGGAGGTAGTTAGGCCCATTGGAAACCACCGATTAGAGTTTAAGTTAGCTTGCAACGAGGAATACGCCTGAAACGAACCTCCAGGTCATGTTTGACTTTGTCGGCGATAACTCGCAATTTTTAACTGCCAACCGCCATAGGAGACCATTGTTTGTCTTTAAACCAGCGTCCCAAACTAAGAAGCTTTTTTTCTTTATCCCATTCTACCGGTTTTTTCCTCCAAAACCGGATCTGTTGAAATCAAAACCGGATCTGTAGACATCAAAACTGGATTATTACTTATTATATATTCGAACTGTTTCCTCTATTTATGTAACCATGTTAGTAAAAAAACAATCTTTTATAAATATTTCGAATACATAGTGTATAATATTTAATCAAATTAGTCTCGATGGACATCCGATAGTGAGGATCTATGATCCTCGCTGTGAATGCAGTTAACGTCATTAGATGCGAAGCAGTGCGTGGTAGCGTATATGGAAATGTATTCACAAAGTTTTTGGCAGCCCTTCCAGATATTCTTGACGATGACGAAGAATACATCATTGTTATGGATGACTTCGTTTCCGCCATTCCACTCAAGAATTCTATGAAACGTTTCCATACGAGATACACTTCTTACCAAGGTATTTTCCTTTCCTGAACCTCTGCGAGGAGGTCATCTTGCAAATTAAGCCTAATGTGAGAAGGTATGCTCCAAGTCAACGAAGAGAAGATCTACTTGAAGGAATGAAGAATTCTTGTCAACTTTTCAATATTCGAAGACATTCTCTGGACAATGTTTCTCAATATCTGATGACCATCGAGACTAATTTGATTAAATATCATACGCTATGTATCCGAAATATTTATAAAACATCGTTTTTTACTAACAAGGTTCAATAAGTAAAGGAAAGAGTTCTAATATGCAATAAGTAATAATCTGGTTTTGATGTCTACAGATCCGTTTTTGATTTCAACAAATCCGGTTTTGGAGGAAAAAAACGGTGCAATCAGGAGGAATCTAGGTATGGGTACCGTTACAAGCTTTAACTGAGTACACGGCGACTGCTCGAATATTATCTAGCCTTATGGCACGAACCTCCGGAAGATAATGTTGAAGAGCATTTAGGCAGTTTGCTTTCTTCAGTCAAGCGTGCACCAGAGGTCTTAAAGGAATTCTGAAAAGTACTCAACTTTGGAGTTATGTGCTGGCGGGTTATCACTTGTGAACGCAATATGAAAAGACCTTACCTAAAAGTCAATTTCCTTCAGGTTCCCATGAGATTCGAGACCCCACTAACCGTGCCCTGGTGGAAGAGATGCAGACCCTGCATCTCGCTATCCGCGACATTGCCCAGATGGTCCTCAATGAGGAGTCCATCTACACGGATACAAACGCTCCGCAGGTGCTCGACTGCCCCGGTGCCGGCGACTGTAGACGATCACGTTCCCGCTCTCCCAGGTACGGATCCAGTCCCTCACCGATGCGCCTCTCCAGAGCCGGCGCCT